TCCACCAATTAACATTAGAGACATAGTAAAAGACACTGACTTTGATAAAACATTGAAAAAGCTGTTAATTAAAAAATGCTATTACAATATAAATGGATATTTCTGTGATAAATATTAGGGGTTAAAGTATGAAATTGCCGTTTTATTGCAATAGGTTCTTTGAATTTTCATAGAATCTTCATGGTTTGAGGTTTTCGAATGAAACTTTTTTCAAATGGTTTCTGTGATTCTTTTTTTTAAATTTGAAACAGTTGAATATCGACTTTCAATTGTTTTTGTTATTCAATTTAGACAAGAAAGATGGATACTGCGAAAATTCGAGTGATTTTTGAATACGAGTTCCGACGCGGAACTAACGCGGCAGAAACAGCCCGCAATATCAATGCTGCGTTTGGAGAGGGGTCTACTAATGAACGCACCGTACGATTTTGGTTTAAACGCTTTCGTGATGGAAATTTCGACTTAAAGAACGAGGCACGAGGAAGACCGCCCACACAGGTGAATAACGATGAATTAAGAGAGATAGTGGAAGCCGATCCTAGTCAAACTACCCAGGAATTAGCGGCATGGTTTAACGTTACCTTACCCACAATATTGACTCACTTGCGTCAAATCAATAAAATAAAAAAATACGAAAAAATGGGTGCCTCATGATTTGACTGATCTGCAGAAAGAAACGCGTGTTGAAACTTGTGTTGCCTTGTTGAACCGGTACAGAAATGAAGGAATATTGGATCGAATTGTAACATGTGATGAAAAGTGGATTCTTTATGATAACCGGAAAAGAAAAATGCAATGGCTGACCCCAGGTCAAATGCCACAACAGTGTCCTAAAGCAAAACTTACCAATAAAAAGGTAATGGTAACTGTTTGGTGGTCTCAGCATGGTGTTATTCACTATAGTTTTCTCCGATCTGGTCAAGCAATAACGGCAGATGTCTATTGTGTCGAACTCCGAACCATGTTGACAAAACTAGCAGTAAAACAGCCCCGACTCATGAATCGATCTTCACCATTATTGCTCCACGACAACGCGAGACCTCACACAGCACGAGACACCATTTTGATCCTTCAGGAACTGCAGTTAGAAACCATTCGTCATCCTCCGTATTCACCAGACCTTGCTCCAACGGACTACCATTTTTTTCGTGATTTGGACAATTATCTACGTGACAAGAAGTTTTCTTCCCAGGAGGCAGTACAAAATGCTTTCACACAGTTTGTGCAGTCTAGATCGTCGGAGTTCTATCGCAAAGGCATTAATAACCTTCCCATTAGATGGCAGCAATGTATAGATAATAATGGCAACTATTTTGATTAAATAAATTTGTTAAAAATTTAAAAAATAAACAATTTAGATTTTCAGTACAAATCGGCAATTTCATACTTTAACCCCTATTATTTGGAGGAATAATAATAATAATACGACATTGCTGGAATTTATTTAAAATTATATTATGAAATTGCCATTGACATTTATTTAATAATATTAAGACTATTACCTATTTTTATTTTGTACTTTTCATTCCATAAATATGATAATGTTGATATCTTTATGAATTGTTAATTTTTATTATTTTATTATTTATTTATTTAATTTAATATTGAATGATTGATAGCTTAAGTACGTATTTACATCATAACGAATTTAATGCATGCATAGACAGTGTTGATAAAAATTTGTTAGTATAATTTATAAATGCCCCTCTTTAATTTGCCATGCCCTTACAGGGCGTCACATGATCCTATACAACGACATAACACCTTAAATTGTATTTAAAAATGTACTGTAACTGTGACATGCAAATAAATGATTTGATTTGAACCGATTATCTCATGGTACTGTTAACTCTGTCCTATACCTCAGTATCCCCAGTTTGTACTAAGGCAAAAACGGTAATTAATTTAGATAGAATAGAAGTTTGCAGAAACAAAATCTTCACGAATTGTTTATCCATATAGATCCGAATATCTTAACAGACCTGTTCGTTAATAAAATATCCAACGCTCTCTTAGAACATACCAAAATCCTATCTATTTCAAGATATAGACGAATAATTAAACCCTATATTACAGAAGGCATTTTAAGATGTATAATAAATAGAAACAATATACAGAAAAAGTAAAAAGTCAGATCCTAAAAATGAGACACTAAATATAACTTATTGTAGGTACAGAAACTACTGTAATAGATTAATAAAAAAATTCAAACGAAAATTTGAACGCGATAAATTAGCTATTTCAACCAAAAATAAAAAACCTATGGAAGACAATCAATGAAATTACTCAATCTAAACAAACTAAAATCTCTAATATTAATTTACTAAATATTACGTCATCGCCATTATCATCCGTTAATCGTGTTGATGAATATTTTACTAGCATTGGTAAAACCCTGGCAGAAGATATACTTTTAAATAATGGAGCGCAAGGCGCTAAAACTTTTGCATTACATAATCAGCCTTCATCTTTGTTCTGCTGGATACGGATTCCTATGAGGTCAAAAATATGTTAATGACTTTTGATTCAAACAGTTCCCCGGGATGGGATAGCATACCTACAAATTTTTTTAAATATTCTCATCTTATTCTTGTACCTTAAATAAGCCATTTGATAAATCTACGTTTTAGTAAGGGGATATTCCCAAAAGTGCTTAATAATCAATTGTTACGCCAGTATGGGAATGGTGACAAGGACGATGTAAATAATTATCGACTAATATCGTAATAACTGCATTTTCAAAAATCATGGAGAAACTGATCAATACTCGTTTATTATTTTTTTTAAATAAATACAATCTCATATTGGTTTTCGTAAAGGTATATCCACACAAGATGCTATCATAGAATTAAGTACTCACGTGGTAAAAAACTTAGATAGTAGAAAAAAATGTTTAGCAGTTTTTCTTGACCTAAACAAAGCTTTTGACACAAACTCTGTCCCCATTCTTCTTAGTAAACTGGAAGATATTGGAATTAGAGGCACTGTATAGCGTCCCAAAAATACCCAAAATGAAACAGCCTGTATGTTCCAATAATACGTTTTTATTTGTAAATCACTCCACAGTTATACAGTTTCCGAGAACAACTCAATAGCGCGTTTTAGAAAATTACATAAAAGGTTCAACGCCATCTACCGGCCTACATCTTACCCAAACTAAATGTATGTATAATGTTAATAGAAGTATTAACATTCCGCCCGCCGTGGACCAAGTCCATAAACGGAAATAATACAAGCATAAACAGAAACAGAAAAAAAATACTTTATAAATGTAAACGAACAATTTTGCTCAACTAAAGGAACTAAACTTCTAAATTAAAATACAATAAATTGTGTAGTGTGCAAAGATATCAACAATGCAAAATAACCTTACGACTTAGTTACACCTTAAAATTACATTTAATTGTAAGTACTAGTAAATTATAGTGTTCGTTAAATCACTCGCTCTCTAAAGGCAAAACGATTAACTTCGACACAGGTCGCTTAATAAAGTTACCTTTATATTTAACTGTGACTACTCGCGTTAATTTGTCCAAACCGGGATGTTTTTCAGTAATAATACCAAAAAGCCACCTGACAGGTGGGAGGTCGTCTTCTTTGACAAGCACAACACTTCCAACTTCAGGTTCTGGGATTTGGTCTGACCATTTATATCTGTGCTGCAGCTGCGTCAAATATTCATGAGACCATCTACGCCAAAAACCCTGGACCATACGTTGAGTAAGATGCCACCTTTTGAGATTGCTAATGTTGGCATATTCATAATTAATGTCGGGTACGAGCACTAATGGCTCACCTACTAGGAAATATCCGGGTGTTAAAGGATTTGGATCGCCTGGATTATTAGATAACTGAGAAATAGGCCTTGAATTTAAGCACGCCTCAATTTGTGACAAGGTTGTTGTCATTTCTTCAAATGTGAGGGTGCTATTGCCTATGACCCGCTTGAGATCGTGCTTGGTTGACTTTACGCCCGCTGCCCACAATCCTCCAAAGTTTGGAGAATGGGGAGGGATGAAGTGCCAATTAGTGCCATTTGAAGACATCCAATCCGCGATTTCAGCCACAACACTAGATCTTTCCGCATCCAACAGTTTCTTTAATTCCCTAGCGCTTCCCACAAAGGTAGTGCCATTATCACTCCACAAATCTGCAACATGACCCCTTCGTGCAACAAACCTTTTAAATGCAGCTAAAAAGCTTTGTGCAGTCATATCACTGACCATTTCGAGGTGCATGGCTTTTGTGGCCATACACACAAACAGACATATATAGCCCTTTGTGGAGTGATGACCGCGACCCTTTGAAAGGCGCACGCTGATTGAGCCAGCATAGTCTACGCCACATCTGTGGAAAGGTGCTATGTGCGGTCACCCTTGATATGGGCAACTGTCCCATCATTTGTTGGCTCGTTTGAGCATAGTGGCGGACGCAAGTCACACATTTGTGCACAAACCGACGAACGAGACTCTTTGCACCAATAATCCAATACCGCTTCTCAAATAGTTAAGCATTAATTGAGGCCCTCCATACAACGTAGTCTTATGTGCTTCGTCAATCACTAATTGCGTTAACGGCGACTTGTGAGGGAGAATAAACGGGTGTTTCATGTCTTCATTGACCTGAGCACCTTGTAACATTCCGCCAACTCTGAGGATTTGATTTGCGTCTAAGAATGGATTCAGAGAAGTAAGTTTGCTTTTGTTATTTAATTTTCTACGATTCTGCAAATTATCAATGTCTTCATAGAAACTCTGTTTTTGGCACACTTTTATACAGGTAAGTAAAGCATCGTTGATTTCTTTTGCTGTTAACTGTGTATTAATATTTTCAGTTTTGTCTTTTTCAGATTTTTCCACCGCAGGACCCTTCGGCACAACGACAGCACTCTGATAAGTTTCCTTAAGGACGAAAATCGAGACATAGCTCATCGTTTTTTTCGTTACTTGTAGTAACATGAATCACAATTTTAGGTTTTCTCTCTTACAGTTTTGTATCCTTCAACTCGCTTTTTCGTAATTAATTTCTTCCAGATGCAGCCACTCGGGACCCTGATTCCAGAGCAAATTCTCGACACATTCCGACTGTTGTGTTCCTCGAGATGCAGGATCTGCAGGATTTTCCTTAGAGGCAACGTGAGACCATAGATCTCTATCGGTGAGGATCTCCGATACCCTGTTTGCGATGAAGGTCTTCCACCGGCTAGGATGACTACTTAGCCAGGCTAGCACAATTGATGAGTCGGTCCATGCATGTAAATTCCCTTTAGGTACTTGAAGAGTATCTGCCACTTCATTTAAAAGCTTGGCTAGAAATACCGCGCCACACAGCTCTAGGCGTGGGATGGACACTTGTTTGATTGGAGCCACTCTGGTTTTGAAGGTGATCAAATGCACATGAACTCTTCCTTGTTCATCAATAATGCGCGCGTAGACGACTGCTGCATACGCCACATTAGATGCGTCTGAAAACCCGTGCAATTCAAATACCTTGTCGTCTTTCTTGGAGTGGATCCATCGAGGTACTCGAAACTCCGTGGGCGCTTTCAAATTGTTTCGAAAATTCGTCCAGTTTTTAAGAATTGAATCCGGAAGTTCACTATCCCAATCAACGCTGGATAGCCACACCTGTTGAATAAAAACTTTGGCTGTGGTGATAGCCGGTGCTATCCACCCCAAAGGATCGTAGAGACGAACAATATCAGAGATCATCTTTCGTTTTGTTACAGGAGCTTGCAAAGGAGGCAGATCGACCGTAAAACGAAATTCGTCAGCTTCTCTATTCCATTTCAGACCGAGAATCTTTATAACGTCGTCAGTTTTTAGTTCCAAATTCTGGTTTACATCATCTGCCTCCTTTTTGATTATTTTCAGTAAGTCCTTGCTATTACTTGACCACTTCTGAAGTGGAAATCCTCCACGATTCAACAAAGCAGTAATTTGCTCGTAAATTTCTAATCCTTCAGCTATGGAATGACAGCCGGTCATCAAGTCATCAATATAAAATTCATTAAGGACTCTAGAGACCGCTAATGGGAATTCAGAACCCTCGTCGTTGACTAGCTACTGGAGACATCGAACAGCAAGGAATGGGGCTGAGGAAGTACCAAAAGTTACTCGCAAGAAACGAAGATGTTGTAATGCGACATCTAAATTTTCACGCCAAAATATACGTTGAAAACTTACGTCTTCATCAGCCACCTTTATCTGCCGATACATTTTAACAATGTCGGCTATAAGAGCGATCGAGTAGCACCGCCATCGTATTATCAAATGTCGCAATTCTGGTTGGAGAGTAGGACCCACCATTAATTCACTATTCAGTGATATTCCATTAGAATCGGTGCATGATCCGTCAACCACCATGCGAACCTTTGTAGTAGACTTATCTTGACGAGCCACGGCGTGGTGTGGTAGATATACTACTCCTTTTTTGACCACTTCACTTGGTTTTACCACTTCTGCATGGCCCGAACTGAGGTACTCCTCCAAGACCTTGGAATACTCTTGATGATGTTTTGAGATTGGGTGTTCTCAACAAACGTCTTTCTAACATGAGAAAATGCTTGTGCGCGATATTCTTAAGATTACCGTGTAGACAAAGTGGATTTTCCGTTTTGAAGGGTAGTTTGACGATGTACCTACCAGACTCATCGCGTCTAGTAGTTTTAACAAAAAGTTCCTCACACCTTTTCTCTTCTAGAGTCTAGTTATGTGTTTAGTCCTATCATAGGATGGTTCGGTCTCTAGCTCCCAAAACTTTTTGAGAAGCTCGTTCTCATTTGATTGAGCTAAATGTAGGTTTACTACATTGAGACACGTCTCGCCATGGTTGATTTCTTTATTTTTGCTGTGTATTTTACCAGATAAGATCGAACCGAGTCTTGTATGTTGTGCAACGACAGAGCCGGAAGAACCTCTGATCAAACTTTCGAACAAGATCTGGCTATATACCTCAGATCCTAAAAGAATATCTATTCTGTTGGGTGTGTCAACCGATGGATCAGCTAATTCCATGGACGGGAGTGCTGGTAAAGCTTGAACAAAAACCTTACTACTTGGAAGAAAATTTTTCAGTTTACTTAAAACATGAGGCTTAACCGTAATAGAAAAGCTTGGATCAAGACGGGACTGAATTTTTATAACTACCGACGACTTTGATGCTAAGGTCGATTGGTCGCCGCCTAAACCTGATACTATACTGGTCCCTGGTATCTTTTTGAGACCTAGCAACTGTACAGCCGATTCCATTATAAACGAAGCCTGAGATCCCTGATCAAGCAGCGATCTTAAAACGAATGCAGAATTCGTTTTGGGTGACACATAAGACGTGTCCAATTGTTATTAGAAAAACAAGTAGTAACTACTTGGGGAATTGGGGACTCGATATGAGTCTTCGGTGGGGTTGACTTAGCCGCAACCTTAATATCAACAAGCTGATCAGTCTTTATGTCATGAACTGATTCAGGGATTTTAGGATGAAGTACAGTGTGGTGGTTTTTATTACAAAGACGACACCTTGTAGATATTGTACACTGGTATACCGAATGATCTGAACCGAGACAGTTGAAGCATAAATAGTGCGTTTGGACGAAATTACGTCGCGTGTCAGTATTTTCTTTTGCAAATTTCTTACAATTATATAATTTGTGATTTTCCGTACAAAAACTGCAAGTCATGATTGTAGTCGCAACATGAGCACAATCGGTCTTTTAAATTTTTTGAACCCTTGTATCCAGATATTCCAACGATCTAAACCCACCTTGTAAAAATTCTCCAAATTGATTAAAATTAGGTAAATCACTGTTGGAATTACTAATTTTCTGCTCCCATTGTTTACGGGATTCTGGATCTAATTTTTGACTAATGAGGTGTATTATAATAACGTCCCAACTACTAACGTTAACCCCAATACTTTTTAATGCATATAGGCATTCCTTGGTAGTGTCCAACAATTGTTTGATAGCACTAGCTGACTCAGATACCAGGACCCTTTGAGAAGTCAACTTTTTCAAAATATTGTTCTCCAACTGTGCCCAACAAACCTTATAATTGTCAGAAGTAACCGGTATGTGTCGAAGAAATTGTTCTGCCTCATCAATTACACAACTTTTCAGGTAATGTAATTTCTGAACATCATTACACATTGGGATTATTATGAATAAAGGAAGTAAACAAGTCACGAAAACTGACCCATTCTGAATATTTGCCTGAGAATTTCGGCACTGTGATCTTAGGCAGCTTTACTGCAGTTTGTTCACCACCCTTCTTCTCATCCCCTTTGTCTGGATTGAGACTAGGTTTCAGGTTTAACAATGTGTCTTTTAATAGCGATTTGTACTCGATATATATCTCTTCGGTTTGATCGTAAACATCAGATATGTAATAACTAGTTTTTTTTGAGTTCTTCTCGCCTTATCTCGTATACAATTTTTCGATGATTACTAATGAATTCATTCCACTGCCGTTCTAAAGTTTCCAAACGAGTTTCGATATAAGATAAAGTTAGTCTATCCTTTGGCGATTTTTTGAAATTTGATTTAGATTTAAATATTTTCGTAGCAATGTCTTCCTAAATCTTAGTGTAATTTTCGGCCATTATTACTATTAAATAAAGACAGAGGTAAAGATATAATTACTTACTTAGATTTACAATTTGATCCAAACTGAGTACAATAACTTTCCACGTGAACAAAACACAAGTATAAACTGACAAGAATTCACATAAATATTCTAAGAGTTGGATAACTGTCCCAATTTACACTAAGTCTCGTATAGTACTGACAAAAATCACAAGTCCGATGATGACAATTTTTCTAACTACTTGCTCCGAAAACGGGCATGGATTCCCCGTTGGTTCACTTTTTTGCAAACTGTTCTAAGTCCAAAACACTTATAATTTTTTAAAATTATTCCAAGTCCAAAACACTTGCAAAATTTTTAACTTTTTCACTAATGCACTTGATAGATAAGATTCAAATTGTACTCACGGTTTTCTTGACACTTTAACTCACGCGCACAACCAAATGACTCCTCAGCCCGGGGCTCTTCCTCCCCGCGCTGCTTCCGTCTCGTCCGGTAGATGTCTCAGGTGTGCTCCCCTTGCGCCGTAGCTCTGTCTCTGTTGTCACAGCGGTGACGACGTCTTCTTCCGCCTCCCGTTGTCGTAGGCCTAAGCACCTTTGGCAACAATCCGTTGCTCCTTTGGCGCCGGGCTGGATGATGTACAAGTACTACTTCGCGCCGTATTAAACCAGCAACTCGAAGGACCATGTATAGCGTCCCAAAAATACCCAAAATGAAACCGCCTGTATGTTCCAATAATACGTTTTTATTTGTAAATCACTCCACAGTTATACAGTTTCCGTGAACAACTCAATAGCGCGTTTTAGAAAATTGCATAAAAGGTTCAACGCCATCTAGCGGCATCTTACCTAAACTAAATTTATGTATAATGTTAATAGAAGTATTAACAGGTACTGCATAAGCCCTCCTTCCATTCCCTCCTTCAATGTTACCTGAGAGAAAGGAAACAGTATGTAAAACTCGGTAATATCTTTAGTAATGATATACGTATAAATTGTAGTGTTCCACAGGGAAGTGTAGCGTAGAGCCAACGCCCTACGCTCTTCCTCATCTACATACCTGTACAATCTGAATGTAGTTGCAGGAAAAGTTTACTTACGCGGATGATACAGCGATAGTATTCTCAGGTGACATATGGGAGGAAGTGCGTACACATGCTGAAATTGGATTGCCTAGATTTGCTAAATGGCTTGATATCAACCTTCTAACTGTGAATACCGCTAAAACCAATTATATATGTTTTTCCCTCAGAAACTCATCACAACTAGATGAGAACTTCAAAATTATGATTCACAATTATGACAGACGTGGTACATAAAACTGTACCTGCTCTATTGCTAAAATAGACAAAACGAAATATCTTCGTGTTATCGTCGACCAGACTATAATGGTATTATCAAATAGACTTGATTTCTATTGCAGTTAGAAAGCTAATATCGATTTTTAAAACATTACGACATGTAGCAACAAAGGAACCGTTAAACAAAACATATATAGCCCTTGTGCAGTCTATTTTGGTATACTGTATTCCAGTAAAGTTAAAAAATTATTACAAATTTATTCAATGAATTATTACGACTGTACAAACGCTGTATTATAATGGCTACAATTATTAAGGTATGGCGAAACTGGATCATTTTTTAATGTACCTGTATAATCCGTGGAATCAACTGTTCTCCAAAACGATACTTTTGTACTTTGTTACTAATCAATAATAGTTCTAATACTCATATGCGTTATTACATACACAAACACACACACACACCCACCCACTCACGCATGCACGCACGCACACTCGCACG